GCGGGGCCGCCGAGATGGTGCTGCAGATGATCAGCGCGTGCAAAGGTGAGCGCGCCTCGCACGGCGCCCCTCGCCCCCGGCGTCTTGCGCAGCCCCTCGCACGAGGCTCCTTGCACAAAGCGTCTTGCACGGCCCCTTGGACGGGGCTCCTCGCCCCGGGCGTCTCGTACACCCCCTTGCATGAGGATTATCGCACCAGGCATGTCATGCACCTCTTGCACAAGGATTATCGCACCAGGCGTCTCATGCACCTCTTTGCATGAGGATTATCGCACCAGACATCTCGTGCACCTCTTTACACGAGGATTAATGCACCAGACATCTCATGCACCTCTTGCACGAGGATTAATGCACCAGGCATCTCGTGCAGCTCCTTGCCTGCACTCCTCGCACCAGGCACCCCGTGTGAGCCCCCTGCACGGGGGCGTTGCACGTGGGGTACGTCACCGTGCCCCTTCGCACGAGCCTGTCGCACGGGCCCTCGCACGCCCAGGGCTCCGTCACCGTGCCGCGGCGCACGAGCCTGTCCCACGGGCCCTCGCACGCCCAGGGCTGGTGGGACGGGCCGGTGCGCGGGGCCGGCGCGGTGACGATGCCCCGGCCTTGGCAGGGGAGCGGGGCGACATGGTGTCCTCCACCCTCAAGCTGGGCATCTCCATCCTCAACGGGGGCAACGCCAACGTGCAGCAGGTACGAGTGTGTCCGCGTGTCCGTGCGTCCGGGCGTGTTTCCACCTGCAGGTCCGTGCGTCTGTGCACGCCTCGGGCGGGTGCCCACGTGTCTGTGTTCACGCCCGCGGCCGTGGAAGCGCCCCTGCGTGTGCCTGTGGCCGTCTATCTATGTGTGTGTCCGTGCACGTGTCCGCGTGTCCGTCCACGTGCCCCTACGCCCATGAGCACATCCGTGCACTGATGCATGAGTCTGTGCACCCGTCCGTGCGTCCGTCCACGTGTCCGTGTCCCCACGAGCGTGTCCAAGCGCCCATGCCTGCCTCCGTGTGTCCGTGCATGTGCCCGGGTCCGTGTCCGTGTGTCCACGCCTGTCTCCCCCCCCCCAGAAAATGCTGGACTACCTGAAGGAGAAGCGGGAAGTTGGGTTCTTCCAGAGCGTCCAGGCCCTGATGCAGACGTGCAGGTGAGCGTCCATCTGGCCGTCAAGGTCCCCCCACAGCCATTGGGGACCCCATGGCCATCAGGGTCCCCTCCAGGCCATTGGGGTCCACCCATGGCTATCAGGTCCCCCCATGGGCATCAAGGTCCCCCCCATGGCCATTGGGACCCCCATGGACATCAGGATCCCTTCCAGGCTGTTGGGGCCCCCCCATTACCATCAGAGTCCCATCATGGGTCCCCCCATGGGCATCAAGGTCCTTGGGACCCCCATGGGCATCAAGGTCCCCTCCAGGCCATTGGGGTCCTCCCATGACCATCAGGGTCCCCCCATGGCCATTGGGACCCCCATGGGCATCAAGGTCCCCTCCAGGCCATTGAGGTCCCCCTGTGACCATCAGGGTCCCCCCATGGTCATCAAGGTCCCCCCATGGCCATTGGGCCCCCCATGGGCATCAGGGTCCCCTCCAGGCCATTGGGGTCCTCCCATGACTATCAGGTCCCCCCATGGGCATCAAGATTCACCTATGGCCTTTGAGACCCCCATGGACATCAGGGTCCCCTCCAGGCTGTTGGGGTCCTCCCATGGGCATCAAGGTCCCCTCCAGG